GGGGGGGGGGGGGGCAGCGCAGTGAACCTAGTGTTTGTTGTGAGTCAAAGGGCATTTACCAAAATGTTTTGCTCAGTGTGTGGCTGTTCTGGTGCCACGACGACAAATTTTGCTCAAAATGTGGAATAATATAATGCATATGTATGTTTTTTAAAACCAAAAATGTGTGATAGAATCATAGAAATATTAGACCTGTCTATGTCTATTATATATTTCTATGGATAGAATAAATAGTCCATTTTTTATTTCGTGTAAAATGAAGTATTTCGCACTGGCATTATGGCTGATTGCTGATTGTAGTGTGCAGGCTCAAGTTAATACACACTTGTTGTCATGGACGGTGAAAACAAATTTTTGTGTAAATTTTGTTAAAATTGTTCTTATTTTACTTCACTACATGGATATTATTTAAATGGACGTTAGTGGAATATAGAAGTATCGAACATGAGAATAAACGTGCAATTGACAAAGGAGCCAAAACGTATCCTTTTTTGTACTGAATGTCAGAGAATTATACCACTTTCATTCTTTCAAATATACGGAATTATGTCAAATATCTTTACTGGTTTTTATCAGGGCTTTCACTCAATATTACACTATTAAAAAGAATATTAGAAAATATAGTGCTGTAGTGACCTAATGCTTTCCAGCATATTATATGTAAAACAGGTCGAATTATATATATGCGCCAGTGCATATGTAGACTTCGGTCATACTATTAAATACGACTGACTGTGACTCAGATGAAGTGTCGAACACACCAGAAGCTTTGGTTTGCTGTGCCTTAGAAGGCTGATGGAATTCAATTCAACACACCAATTTGTGGTCAAATGCATTTGAAAAATACAATTTTTGTGTGGTAATGAAGATTGAAGACTGGCAGACACTGGCTGCTTCACAGGCTACCAGAATCAAAGATAAATGGCTACAAGGATGTTAAAATTATGTCAAAATTTGCCTGACAGTGTGTTACAATTCACTGAAGAAAATAATCACCCAGCAATGTGTGTAGTGAAGGTACTAAATAAATTCAACTGCTCAGCTAATTACACCATATGGTAAAGGACAACTAGTTGAGTGAAAATTCCACCAATTATTGTGGCCCGCATGTCACTTGGTTTCAGGTGTCATGGGTAGACGGGCATGGTTGCGGGCTGCTCGTACAGGCTGATACAGCGTGCCAATATGGCGTCTGTTGTCACACTAATTATTGAACCAAATTGCCTAAATTCGTCCATAGGAAACACACATCTCTAGTTAATATTGATGTTGGGACTCGACTGAAAATCGCCCAGAAAAAAAACTGCCAAAACCACAGAAAAAACATTTTTAAATGTATTTCCGACCTACTGACCCTAGTTTTTCAGTTGCCATGTTTACTTATATTCGCGACCTCCAAAGTCATCTACAGAGACATACTTCCAGTAGTTGCAAGTTGATGGAACAAGGTTGTTAACCATCACAAGAGAAAGGATAGGGCCAAGCTTAGCACCTTGTAAGACATTCATTGGCATTAACCCTGGTCCATTCGGATACCAACTCACCCAACTTAATAAGTTGGGTGAGAGTTAACATATTGCTAGCGATTGGATAAAAATCTGCATGTGCACGATAATAAAGATAGTTGTACTCCCAAATGGATCAATTTGGCAACTAAGATGTTAAGATTAATGCAATCAATTGACTTAGGAAAGCAGCTGAAATATGCCAAAAGTTTCAACTAAATAAAGCACAAAATCTTGTTGCTCTTGTATCTGCTTATTAGGTAGGCTGTAAACAATTCCTATTATAATACTAGTCATGGTTCTTGGAAGACATGGTAGGGTCATATCATTCCACATACATTTGAAATTTCACAACTGCATTAAAAGTGGATTAAATCAAATAGGCTGAATATTTTGTTTTTCAATTGCCTCGTACCAAGGCTGCCATGGTTTGCTCTGGTGTTGCATGGTAGTTGTGATTACAGTACTTGAAATTCTGTGGTTGACTTCCTTCTAACCAATGCACCTGGATAAGGCAAGTCAAAATTAATACTGAGTATTACTGACAATTTTATAATTAATTGACAGAATCATTTTTTCGTACGCACAAAAACATGCAAACAAAATTCATGCCAAGAAAAGATATACAACAACGAGAAAGGCTTGGGCACCATATAGAATAACTGATCCCTGAGCAACAATCAAACTCACAGTCTGTCTATCTTAAATGAAGTGAAAGGCAGTTCCTCTGACATATAATTTCTAACAGTCTGTGCCAGTGTAGGTAGTGCCAATGACAAGAAAGGTGTGGATTGATAGGGATACAACTACTGTTGCTGAAAAATTCAAGGAGAACTTCAAGGTTTCAAGCAAAGGCCTTTCGTCGGGAGGTTAATAGCGTCGCTCGAAACGTCAAAGTTCTTCTTGTATTTTTCAGGTAGTTGTGTCCTTATCAATTCCGCAGCTTTATAATTTCACTAAAGCTAAGAATCAAATCTACTGTAATACTGTATAATAACTATAATGACGCTTGTGGTGTTACTCTAAGTGTATATACACACCAGGTAAGCTTGAAAAATATGCCTGACCACGGTGGGAATCGAACCTACGACTTTTGGAATACTAGCCCAATGCTCTGCCAACTGAGCTATGCGGTCAGGTCGGTTCGAGTATGTGATATTTCGGAACAGAATCTAGTTCCTTCGATATCAATGTAATCTAGTAATATGATTTTTTTCTGTTTTGCTGTAATGTACTCAGGTGAATATGATGCTTGTGATGTTACTCTGAGTCAGTGTAACACTCAGAGTAACATCACAAGCATCATATTCACCTGAGTACATTACAGCAACACAGAAAAAAAACTATAATGATGCATGGTGTTACAGGCATGTTTCTTTGGATGGAAATCGATGCATGGAATGCTGTAGAACTTATTATTATTATTATCTTCATATTTATACAGGATACCCACATCACCGAAGTGTTTTTCAGTGGGGTCCTGCAACTTTAAATTACATTATTTAATCCAATATTTAGCCATGCACTATTTACAGCAACACATATACAATGAAAATTATATTATTATTACGTATATCTTATTATTACGTATATCTTATGATACGTTTTATATGCATATATAGGGATAAAAAAACGTCTGCACTCTGCAGTGTTTCGAAACGCCCAACTTTTGCATATACTTTTGAAGTAGTTGTATCTCACATCTCAGCTGTTTCAATATCGTCGCAACGTACACTGCCCCCGACTGTTGTTTCGACATCATATATAGGATTGCTTTTCATTGTGAAGCTCGTTATTATGGTGTGTTTCACTTACAATGTGGCCTGCACTATCAGAACCTCAACTACTGTGTTATAGCGATGCTAGAAAATATAATCCTCCTTAATGAACATTAGACAAAGATTTGGTGAGCTGTGTTGGCTGGACTGCTGCTGATGAACTTTACTCGTGTGGGTACGTAATCCTAATTTTTTCTTCTAGCTGACCTAAAAGTTCCTCGGCTATCAGGCATTTAGCCAGGCGGCCGTCCAACCGTCCTATGGACGGTTTATACGGCCAAATTTTGTGATATTTCTTGAATGACTCAGAAGTTGTCGCTGCTATTTACTTTATATATTGCAAAGACTGTGAATTATGAGCATTGATTAGAACCTAGAGTTCACTGATTAGAACCGCCATGTTTTCTGACCACGTCATCAAAAATAGGTTGCCATCAGTGGTTGCCACACCCACGGTATTTTTTTGGACACTGAGTTCTGACACCCTGGCTAAAAAATGGCTGCTGGTTGTTGAGGAAAATTAACTGTTACGTTGAGTACAGTGCACTTAGTCTGATGACCTTTTCTTAACCTTAACATTTTTTATTTTACAGAGATGATCACATAGTTCTGAAGTGGAATTTACTCTCTGACGAAACGTCTGAAGTAAGACTATAATGAAATATAAGACGGTTTTATTATAATAGCAAATAGGAACCATGCATCATGACTGCTTTTTTGACACTGTTTGAATGCTGCGGTTAGACTAGCGTGGCAAAGGTGATTCAGGTTAACTTCCAAAAGGTAAAAATTATAAAAACATTCTCAAAACACACTACTGTACGTTCCAATTTAATGCAAATATTAGCAAGAAAAGTTTCTAAATGTGAAGTCTATGATTGAATTTTTGAAAAAGTCTCGATTGAGAAATGACTAAGCAATGAAGATCTTCCAGCTGATCATTATTCTACGCCTGGGTATTTTTAAAAATGATTATTTCCCACTTTCAATTAATTTCTATTGTATTGATAACATTGATCAACTAATTATGTGATATTCACGTAGCATGCAGATTCAGACCTGTCAACTCATCGGGTGATACTTTTTAGCAAATCTCCGATCGTCTGATTGAAGATCATGTTGTTCAGGCTTTCTTGCATTTTCAATTTTAGTTGATTGGACAAATCAGATGCATGTATACGTTAGAGGCTCCTGATCGTGATACAAACAGTTTAACTAGGTTGTGTGTTCTTGTGAAACCGCATTGTTTTACCTTGATATTAAATTGACTGTGGAAGCAGGAAAATAAATAAAGTTGTCGCAACTTCGTTTTAAGTTCATTATTTGGGTACAAAAAATGTAAACAAAGCTGACATGTGTAAACGGACTGTACAACATCTTTAATTAATATTTTTTTCCCAATCTCCAGATTTTGTTCAGGCAAGGAGTGATATAAAGCATTTTTTTCCAGGTGACCACATTACCTGACGAACTTTATCCAACAGATGTCCACTGGTTTCCTAAGAGTATTGGTGCGAAGAAACAACCACAAAGTGACATATTTGTATTGACTGCTACAGATGGTACGATGATCTCTAGTATATACTGGATAATCAGGACCTACATTGATAGCAGTTCATGTTACTGATGCAGTTCCGCCTGAATAAATATATGGATAAATTCACACACTATATATATTACGTTTTTCACAACATCGGTGGCGTATTTGGCAGAGGGTGCACATATTTACGTGATTCTGAGCTTTTTAACAACCATTGCTTAATGCTGGCTATTTTTGAGATTCTAGAGAGATTGCAGGATGGGCTGCCCACTCTTTTCACCCTAATTTGCTCTCCATATTAAGATCAACCCATTGTGTTTTACAAACTATACATGATTAACTTAGTAAAAGCATGTTATATTACACAATGCAGTGTGAGCAAAAGTTCCAGAAGAGAAACAGTATCTTAAACCTCTCAGTGTTTCAATTGCAAAAAGCTTTACATGTTTGGACATATAGTTCGTTTGTCTCAAATTAGTCATTATTTTCTAAAAGGGAAGTTTCACTTTATCTCTCGGAGTGGTCGTGTGGAGAAGTCAGTGGAAGCGCATAGAGGAGCTGTTCTGTCTGCTCGTTGGAGTCATGATGGGACAGCATTGGGAACAGGTTTGTTGTGTACACTGCATGAAAATTCAGTGTTTTTAAGAGAGTTTGGCGATGTTTTATAAGAATCACCGTGATTATCATCTTGTAAATTATCGTAATATTCGATATTATCACGATAAATTCAACAAAAACATTGACCACACAGTTTCGATTGTAATTATAAGATATATCTTATATCTTATTAACAACAAATTAAAGAAAATATAAAAAAACAGTTATTATATAAGTTCATTTCATAAACCTCAACTGTCGTATTGCAATAACGACAAGACGGAAAACTTTCAGAAAATAGTATGTTTCAATTTTCTATGAAAAGTTTACTTCAAATAATTAAATTAACTATTTTCGGTTTTATAAAGCAGGGTTCGTAGCGGTTTTTAATTAAAGTATTTAAAAGTCTTTAAAATTAATTCTTTAGTGAGTATTTGATTATACGATTTCCTAGCTAATAAAATAGATTGATTGAAGAGCACGGTTTTCGCAAGTATCGACGAAAAGGTACACTTTAAGATGTGATGTGGCGGGACTGATTACTGGGCAAAAATGGTGCTTATACACTCGCAATATTTCGACAGCTGATTGCTCTCAAAGGTCTTTGAAAATAGGCAGAAAAAATCTTTGAAAGTCTTTAAATATTTTTGGTCTTGGAGACTACGAACCCTGTACTAAAAGGCTATATACTGTACACATGCATGTGAACCCATATCACGATAGTCATTGACCATAACAATAATTATACCCAACTCTTAGTACAGTATATCTAATGAATGCTTATATCTGAATGAAGATAAATAATATTCCCGGATGAAAGGAATGGGAAGAGGGAAGGCCCTTACTCTGGCTACTTTCTTGCTGACGAAAGGCCTTTTACTCAAAACGTCAAAGTTTGTTGTATATTGATCAGGTAGCTAAACCCTTCAATTTATTCATCGCTATCTGGAACCCAACAATATTCAAAAAATAAACTGTTAATACGACTTTTACTTGCTTTGTACGGTCATCATTCTTTCATTATGAAAGAAACAGTAAACTTTTCACACAATAAATCAGTTCAAACGATGCTCAAGGTGTTCTGGCTGTTCTACACCATCACCCGTATCCCAGAATAAAGACACACAGAAGGTCGACTCAGTCTCAGCCACAAAAGCGTAACTGCTGCCACGCTATGTTTCGTCATCAAAATGCTGACACCATGGTCCTTGCCGGTGCGCTTATGAGAGGCATTCCCCCCCTGGACGTCCGCCATTTTGAATATTATCAGGGGGTGAATGTTGGGGTGAATGCTCTCATAAGCGCACTGCATGGCTAGGACCATGGCGTCAGCATTTTGATGACGAATTACGGTCACGCCAAAATCATAGAAAAAAACAAGAAATTGGGCTTCTGTATGGTCTCTATTCTGTGCCCGTATGCCTAACTGCGCCCTATTGCCTCGAAGAACTGCCTGCCTTTAATGTGTAGGATCGTGTAGCTGAATGGTGGTTTGTATTCTTTTTTTAGTCGGAGAAGATGGTCAAGTAAAGATTTGGTCCAGAAGCGGAATGCTTAGATCAACATTAAGTCAAGTTGGTAAGAACGTCGGATAATAACATGCATTCCCAGGACGTCAAGTGGAATTACAAAATTAACAAACAACTTACATGCTTTTTCTTCTATGTTTTTAATAACGACGGCAAAACGAAAGTCTCTGTATACGCAATGTACACCAATGCGTCCAGATCACGCGCCAACGGGTACATATTTCATGAAATGGGATTCATGTTTTTACATGAATCCCATTGTCCATTAGGCGACTTTTACTCAGTGACTTCCATATATATCGGGAGCGAGAACTCGAGTCTAAAAAGTGAAGCCAGCTTCGTATAACCGCGCAGACAAACTGACGTCAAGGTGTGTGCCGAAATTTCGTATTTTGACATCGATTTAAAGATGAACTCGTCTGATAACTTGGTTAGCGATACGGGCCGTTAGAAAAAAACTGAAATTAGCTGGGAAAAATGGTATAAAAGCTGTTTACGACCTTCAGAGCTATTGGACGTCAATGCCATCTTGACTTCACTTTTCTCATAGTCGATTATCACGTCAGTAAAGCGCGATGCCCATGAAGTAAAAAGTCGCGCGAACAAATTACAGGAGCAATTATTAGCAACAAGTTATACTCTGTCTGTAGGTTAACAAATCAAGTATTTGTTCCATAGTTTATACCAGTGTGTTTGCTTTAGGTACTCCTGTATATGCGTTATGTTGGGCTCCGGATTCTGACCACATTTTGTACACCAGTGGTAGACAGTTGGTGATGAAACCTTTACAAGCCGCTGCAAAACCCTTACAAGTAAGTATGCAATTTGGTGAGACTATCTGAAAAAGATAAGAAAAGGTCGACCAATCCATGCAAATCCGTAAATCATGCAGCATACTGATCATCCAACCATCTCCTTGCGGACACCCCTTGTAAGTGGACAACTTTCGATTGAGATTGCCCGCTGTCGCCGGTAGGGGAAGAATCATTAGCTGTTCGATGCATCATGCATGCGTGTATGATTTAATATATGTGCTTTCACAAAGTGGCTTTTCGCATACTCATGATAAAAACTACTTAACAACTCTAAGACAAAAATATTTACATCAATAATATATACAGTATACATTAAGGTAAAATTTCATAAAAATGATTTAACCGATTACAAAAGACTGCATAATCTTTACTATTTCTAACTTCTGGAGGTAGACTTTTAAAAAGAGTGCCGCAGTGTCCTGAAAAGTTCCAGTCAGAAGATCTAAGTCAATATCAAATAGTCAAATGTGAATAATGAAGCGCCGTTACTAGTGTAAAGTGCCATTGGTTTACTAGAAGAAATGGCGCTAAAGTATATAAATATTAAATACAGTATTATATTATTTTTCAAGTGGAAAGCCCATGATGGTATAGTGATGAAAGTGGACTGGAATCCAATCAATAACATGATACTATCCGGTGGAGAAGATTGCAAATATAAAGTAAGTTATTTCAAGTCAAATTTAATCATGAACCTATTATTATATGTGGAATCCAATCAATAACATGATACTATCCGGTGGAGAAGATTGCAAATATAAAGTAAGTTATTTCAAGTCAAATTTAATCATGAACCTATTATTATATGTGAGCCATCTACTGTTATCTTGTATAACCTTACAAGTGCAGTTATTTCTTTCAGATCACTTCAATTTCTATATTTCTTGTGTTTGGATGGCTGATCCAAACACGGGTTTCGACCAATCAGAGCACGCGTTATATACATGTTATTTTATAAATCACTTTTCTAATTTCTATACTAAACACTTCACTTGGGCTCTTGCAAATGACGTCACAACACTTATTTGTTGACTTCCGCCTTTTGGGTGACAAATTAAAAATAGTTAATTAAAAGGAAACATGGCGTCAAAGCAAGCTGTGGCACTGACTGCGGCTGTTGCTTTTGTTTGAGAACTTTGAAGAATTATAACGCTCCACAGCTGTGTAGTAGTCGGTTGATAGAAGATTTTTGCCACCCAAAATGGCGGATTATTTTTGATACGTCATACTGCAAGACCATAATGACGTCAAACGCGTATGAATACTTCTGCTCCCAACTTTCCCAAAAGGTGATGTAACATGGAACAATTTTAAACGACAATGCGCATTGTAAACAGTTGCTGAGCCAATCAAAGTTCATGTAAGATTATTTGCATTGCGAATTGTCGCTAAACGTTGTCCCGTGTAACATCGCATTACGTGTTTATCCGCGTTTGACGACATTGTGAGAAAGTTGTATTGAATACCTAGGGCGCTTTCCATTAACACGGCCAGACCGGTCAAATTGTTGAATGGAACAGAAAACATTTGAGCTTCTGACCTACCTGACATCAGATAACATTAGAATGAGGTCCATTTTCGCTAGATATTTGAGAAACATAGACCAGATCTTTCCATTGATACAGAGAAAAGAATTCCGGTCTGACCGGTCAGACCATTAAATGGAAAGCGCCCCTAGTGGAAGCGCAGAAGCACTGTTTTAAACACTTTAAAGTAACGTGAATTTCAAGTTAATTACTGAATCTTATCGGTACATATAATATAGTTTATAGTTAAGATGTTAATAATCATTTACAACGAAGCAAACTTTGCAACAGTAGCACAACATCTTATTACTTAGTTGGCATGTTACATCATTTGTTCAAAATTTGTTTCGATTGTATCAGTTACCATAGAGCTACTGTAGGTCATTTTGGATTATTAAAATCTTAACGCAGAATTGCTTGAAGTATTTTTTAAAGTAATATGAAACTCGTGTCATTGATGCCATATATAGACATGAATATGTGGTTAGAGCTCAGCGACTCTGTAGTTCAGTTGTTTCGAGATCCCAGGGCCGCAAGTTTGATTCCTGCCAGAGGGCATATTGTTGCATTTTTCGCAGCTGCTCCTGGTTAGGTCTACCTTAGATCAAGGGAGGGGCAGAGTGGCCTAGCTTTAAACCGCTTCGCCCCTCCACCCGCCTGTCTTAAAACTCGCCTGATACCAGAAAACCTCTGCATCCAGGGTACTGTAGGTTAGGTCAGAGTGTGTAGATCGCTATAGCATTAGAGCGTCTTTATTAAATATAAACAGTCCGTCATGTAAACAGTTGCATATTTACCAGTCCGAAATATGTTTTGCAATAGAACACGTCATGCTCAGTAAATATTTATTTATTATATTTGTTTACAAATTTCGCCGCAGGGACATGGGATTCCCACAGAGTGAAAGTCCAATATTGCGCCAAATATTTAATATGACTTTCTTCATAATGTCCATGAAAACTTTGTGACTGGCGGATGAGTGAATTTTGTAATACGGCAAACACGTCATATTTTAGTAGTAGAACGTTCAGGCATCCACACAAGAAAAGAAAATGTATATACTAGAAATATACTTGTTGCATATTTCGGTAAGCCGAGTGTCTTCATCTCTTCCTATGTTAATAAACATATGCATTAATGAAATGTCATATTAATACACAATATATAAGCATTAATGATATGTCATATTAATAAACATATGCATTAATGAAATGTCATATTAATACACAATATATAAGCAATAGACCAATAAAAACATGCCGTTGTGAACACATAAGTAACGTACTTTACATTTATAATAAAATACTTTTAATATATTAAGCTCTACTTAATTAATTTTGTACGTTATTCTCCAATATGGCTTCATTTGCGACAGAGCATTTCGCACAGAATACTAGTAACAATACAAGCAGTGTGAACGAGAGATATTTATTACTTGCCCAAGATAAGGCGATCTATATAACAATATGTGTGGTCCAAGTGTTACTGGGATCTGTGCTAAACAGTTGTGTTATCTACTTATTTCAACGCAATTCTCATTTACTGGACATCCCAGCCAATCTTATTTTACTCAATATGTCGATCGTGGATTTCATTTCATGTTTCCTGCTACTACCTTGCGAAATGTACGTTACTCTTGATGGAAATAACAATCGTGGCATATCAGGGAATATTACGCATTATTTCTTATTTTTTACATTGAATGTTAGCATCCTTGGAGCTGTCTTAATGAGCGTGGACAGACTACTCTCAGTAGTCTATCCTCTTCGTTATCATGCCTTGGTCACAACCTCAAGAATTATCTACATCCTTGCATTCGACTGGCTTCTATCATTTCTCTTAGGCGTGTCACTCTACACACAGCACTTGTTTAACGACACAACAATTGAATACTTTTATTTTACAAAAGATATGGTTTGTTTGCTGATCATTTGTTTGTCATACAGCGTCATCTCTTACATAGCGAACAAACAGGTTCGTAAGATCACAGCGAAAGATGGACAAACGGCTAGAGAATATCGTATGATCATTTGTAAAAGATCTTTGAAATCAGCCAAGAAAAGTGGAGTGGTCGTGTTTTTCTTTCTGATTAGTTATGCACCGTACAAATTGTTAGAATTATATTATAACTTTACCAGTAGTAAATATACAAATGAAGCTTTCTTCTGGTCATTTACATTTCTATTTTGGCAGTCTTCCTTAAACCCGTTGCTTGTTTGTGCGTTTTCTGAAAAATTAAGAACCATCGTACTCAAGACATTTTGTCATTCAAGTTGAAGAATCTAAATCTTTGAACTTCGCGACATGTTATAAAGACTGTACTCTGCATGCTTTCTGCTCAAACCTTCTCGTACTGTACCGTACTGTACTGTACTGTACTGTACTGTACTGTACTGTACTGTACTGTACCGTAGCATTTTCCTTTGTTGGCAATCATTAGGTCCACCCTAGTGATCAGGAAATAAAACAACACACTACGTGTGGAAAAATAACATGAAAAACTATCGTGTATGACAGGACATTCATATAGAACTCGCCACAAACAGTAGATCGATCGATAGATAGATAGATGGTGTATTTCATATAAACATTACAGCCATATTTATATTTATTTGTTATATAATCAGCCAGAATTACGCTTATATTTACAAGTTAAGAAATATTATAATACTAAAAGGATCTAAGAATATTCTAATAATTTTACGATGAATAATTTAATGCATTGTGTTTAATTAAACTATTTTTAAAACGGTAGTTTGAAATGCAACGTTAAATCTATGACTGGATCTAAGAGTCATATAAACAGTTTCATTACGTGGTGGAAGAAGTTATAAAGCTTGTGGCTATCATCAGTCACTGTTTTTTCAAATAGTTTGTCTTAAGGACCGCCTCTTCGATGGCTGAGTCGTGGAAGGCCAGTTGATTGTAAAGCGTCTTCATATGAGACCCAAGGTAAAATAATTCATAATGCTGTCTTTTGGATCCGCTCCAAATCCTGACTGAGGTAATTTGTCAAACCATTATGGAATACAGGACTTGCGTATTCTAGGATTGGTCTTGTGCACGTTGTAAAGAATAGAACAAGTTCTTTCTTGCCAACTCTCGCTCTCTTAAGTTGGGAGAGAAAATAGAGAATCTTTCTTTTGTTCCCTTGTTCGCGAAAAGATTTCACCATGTTCTTCCTTTGTTCTACAGGCTTACCCCTTGTTCTCCGGGCTTACATGTTCCCTTGTTCCCCAAGCTTACATGTCCCCTTGTTCTCCAGGCTTACATGTCCCCTTGTTCTCCAGGCTTACATGTCCCCTTGTTCTCCAGGCTTACATGTTCCCCTTGTTCTCCAGGCTTACATGTTCCCCTTATTATCCAGGCTTACATGTTCCCCTTGTTCTCCAGGCTTATATGTTCTCTTGTTCTCCAGGCTTATATGTTCTCCAGGCTTATATGTTCTCCAGGCTTACATGTTCCCCTTGTTCTCCAGGCTTACATGTTCTCTTGTTCTCCAGGCTAATATGTTCTCTTGTTCTCCAGGTTTACATGTTCTCTTGTTCTCCAGGCTTACATGTTCTCTTATTCTCCAGGCTTACATGTTCCCTTTGTTCTCCAGGCTTACATGTTCCCCCTGTTCTCCAAGCTTACATGTTCCCCTTGTTCTCCAGGGTTACATGTTCTCTTGTTCTCCAGGCTTACATGTTCTCTTGTTCTCCAGGCTTACATGTTCTCTTGTTCTCCAGGCTTACATGTTCTCTTGTTCTCCAAGCATACATGTTCTCTTATTCTCCAGGCTTACATGTTCCCCTTGTTCTCCAGGCTTACATGTTCCCCTTGTTCTCCAGGCTTACATGTTCCCCTTGTTCTCCAGGCTTACATGTTCCCCTTGTTCTCCAGGCTAACATGGTCCTTTTGTTCTCCAGGCTTACATATTCTCTTGTTCGCGAGGCTTACATGTTTCCCTTGTTCTCCAGACTTACATGTTCTCCAGGCTTACCCCTTGGTCTCCAGGCTTATTCCTTGTTCTCCAGACTTACATGTTCTCCAGGCTTACCCCTTGGTCTCCAGGCTTATTCCTTGTTCTCCAGGCTTACATGTTCTCCAGGCTTACCCCTTGGTCTCCAGGCTTATTCCTTGTTCTCCAGGCTTACATGTTCTCCAGGCTTACCCCTTGGTCTCCAGGCTTATTCCTTGTTTTCCAGGCTTACATGTTCTCTTGTTTTCCAGGATTACCCCTTGTTCTCCAGGCTTACATGTTCCCTATTATTTTTCGGCTTTGTTTCCGTGTTCCCATTGCAAAAAAGTCTTGTTCTCTTGTTCCTTAGAAACCCCTGGGAGACCCTCATTGCACGCGCCTTTTGTGGAAACCAATTTAGGTGACACGGTCAGCCATTTGCCATTAGGTATCGTTTGCTTTTATGTTCTGGGTATCAGACGCAATTCGGCGAATAGGTCTTCCAGTAATGATTACACCAGTATTTGCTTTACTGTGCTGAATGTGGTGTCATCAGGGCCGCCGAGAGAATTTGCGGGGCCCGGCGCAAATCTTCCCTGGGGGCCCCATGATAGCATTATTTTAAGCTAGACTTAACTAGACCTTAACTAGACTGCATGTGGAGCTACTGTAAGGGGCACTTAATTTCAAAAATTCTCTGACCAATTTAAAGAACCTACTCAATTTTGGGTTCTCGCTCACAAGTTGGGGCCCTATTAAGGTGGGGGCCCGAGGCGATTTTCACCCCCTGCCCCCCTGCTTCTCCTGCCCCCCTCTTGGCGTCCCTGGGTATCATTGTTAAATAGTTTCGTTCTTTATAAATTTATTAGACGATCACTATAGTGTACTACTATTCACGATGGTACACTCTTCCAGAAAATACGTCATATTGGCTATTGAGCCTCGTTTTTGTGATTGAGACGTTTGGGTTTAATCGATGTCACATGTACGAAAACGAGGCTGTACAATCAAAGTGACGTACTTTCCGGAAGGGTGTCCAGGCATACCGGTCTTCAGGTTTGCGAAGTAAGTAAATTAGTGGTTTCTCTTCTAGCAGAATTACAATGTTGATGTTGTTGTAGGTTTGGGATAGCTATGGTCGAATGTTGTATTCCAGTTCTCCTCACGAGTATCCAATAACCAGCGTGGCATGGGCGCCTGACGGTATGCTCTTCTCTATAATTTCTTTTCATTTTTTGTATTTGCTAGACGAGAGCATGGGCGCATGCGCTGCCGCTGAGTTACTGTAAGCCTGCTACTGCTAGACAAATATTGCAAACTGTCTAATTATCAACATTTTTACTATGGATTGATAGTGACCGCTTGTACACAGTGACCTAATCGAATTTTAGAAATTTAACATCAAATATTTGGGAAGATGTTTTGTGCACTTCGACATTGAAATTTTGACTGAAACTCATTTTTTTAGGAGAACTGTTTGCAATTGGGTCATTCAACACTTTGAGATTGTGTGATAAAACAGGGGTGAGTTAAATGTTTAATATGTGATTATGTTAAAATCTTACAATAGTTTTAACTATTAAAATCATTCAAGTAAAGGGTACATAAATAATGCGAGCAACAGAATTACTACAGCCTGCAGCAAAAACTGAATTCAATTACCGTCGAATGCCCACCACAGACAACGAGGCTTCGTGCAAAGTTGTAATGTTTCTGTAGTAAATTTAGCACGAAGCCTCAACAACTAGACTGTAATTCGGAAATGAGAATATTCACTTAATAAAATACAGCATGCGTTGAAGTTAGCATTTGTTGAGTTGCAGCAACTTGTTGCTGGTAAACGACGTGTGTTTCAAAATATAACTCACATTTTGTTTTATTTTCTAGTGGTCATACGCCTTAGCAAAACCTAGTACAGGATCATTATTTAACATCGCTTGGTCCAGTGATGGCACACAGTTGGCTGGCGCATGTGGAAATGGACACGTTCTATTTGCTCATATCATAGGAAGGTACGTCCCGGCAAGATCACGATAAAGATCTTGGCATTAAAGATATTGTTGAAATCCTGCAAAAATTTGTCACTGTCTTACCGTGATCTTGTAGAAAATCCTTCACGTTTTTGCAACTAATGCCATACCTTTCCATGTTCTTGTAATAATGAATGGCAGCGTAGGTAGTGCCAATAATAACAAAAAGTTAACTTCCCGACGGGCCATTAAGACCTAAAGACCTTCGCTCGATTCGGAACATGCTAAGATCTTGCCTTAATAGATTTCTATATGTAAGAGGGAGAGTAACGTTGAGACAAGTCACTTCATGATATTCAGTTTGATATTTTCTTCTATAAGACGTTTGGAATGGAAGAATTTGGAACTGACGATCTCTCAAAGAAAAACAATATTAGTGAAGGATGTGTCCAGTGATGCGAAAGAGAGCTTAGGTGAGACTGTGCATTTTGCTGGTTGGCTCTGTTAGTGACTATTAGTACCATCCCTAATATCATTGAAGTGTTACTACAAGAGGAAACCGAAGAAAAACATTTTCAATGGAATGGAACTGGGAGTATAGCAGTTTACATTCTTCTCTCGTGCGATTGAAGCAAAACATTTATTAGGATGGTAATAATAATAATAGAAGGTTTATTAAAATACTTTCGCAATAGTGGTGAATTACAGTATCTTCTGGTTGACTAAAATATTTACAATGTTTTAAAAGATTATACTACAATATTAATCATGATTGTTATGTAATTCTATATATATTATGATTATAATTTCGCTTCAATCGCATGTGAGATTGCAAAAAAGTTTTCAAAACGTCATATTTTCCTAATCGAAGCCCAGTGAAGGACAGACGTGTGCACTAACTGTGCCCGCAACACTTCTTTAAAGATGTTTGTGTACATACAGTACTTACCATTTTTAGCCTGTAATTATGATCTAAATTCTATTTTATATCAATGCTCAATGATACAACTTGTTTTATATTTAGATTTTCGTGATCGAGTCATCAAGGCATCTTTAGCGTTTAGTCATCTGGTTGTCACAACATCTTCTCAGTGTTATGTCTACAGGTGGGGTTTATTGATGAAAGTTTTTAGGTCATACGTTATGTTAGTAAAATTGGTTCGTTTGTCACTTCATCTTATATGTATCTAATAGTCTTCGTTTCTTGACATTTTAACAGTGTGAATAATTGGAACACACCCACAATATTTGATCTGAAAAACGGAAGTACGAGCTTGATCATCCAGTCTGCAAAGTAAGTTTTCTTACGTAGAGGTTGCATGTGCACATGTTTCAAGAAATAAGGTAATAAAATAATTTTGTTTTCCAACATATTTTATGCTAATTTCTATTTTGAAATACATCTTTTATATATTAAACTAAAAAACAAATTCACTTTAAATGGACTACTGTGATTTATTAATTGGTCTGTTTTTGTAGATATTTTCTTCTTGTTGATGAGACTGGAGTTCAAATATATTCCTATGAGGTTTGTACTTCCTTTATTAATTATTATTCTCTGATTCACTGCTTTATGTGTTGTAGCACATAGCTTGTAAAATTTGTTAATAATCTTTTGTCTGTGGTGTCTGTATTAGAGAGGTTTTCGTATTATAGAGATGTTCGTATTAGAGAGGTGTTCGTATTAAAGAGATGTCCTTATTTGAGACGTGTTCGTATTAGAGAAATTTCCGTATTAGAGAAATGTTCGTATTAGAGAGGTGTTCCTGTTAGAGAGGTGTTCGTATTAGAGAGGTGTTCGTATTAGAGAGGTTGTCGTATTAGAGAGGTGTTCTTATAAGAGAGATGTCCGTATTAGAGAGGTGTTCTTATTAGAGAGGTGTCCGTATTTGAGAGGTGTCCGTATTAGAGAGGTGTACTTATTAGGGAGATGTCCATATTAGAGAGGTGTTCGTATAAGAGAGATGTTCGTATTAGAGAGGTGTTCTTATTAGGGAGGTGTCCGTATTTGAGAGGTGTTCGTATTAGAGAGATGTTCGTATTAGAGACGTGTTCTTATTAGAGAGGTTTCCGTATTTAAAAGGTGTTCGAATTAGAGAGATGTTCGTATTAGAGAGATATCCGTATTAGAGAAATGTCTGTATTAGAGAGATGTTTGAATTAGGGAGATATTCGTGTTAGAGAGATGTCCATAACAACTGTGCAATTTCTATGTTCTTATGTAGGGTCGTCTTGTGAGTACACCCAAACTTCAAGGATTGCGACCTGACTTACTAAATGAACAAACACTTTCTCTAAGCAATGATATACTGGCTGTCAGAGATCAGAAAGATGAGAAAGGTTGGTGACAAACTGAGGTTTTCATCTTCTGCGCAGATATGGTCTTTCTAAACCGTAGTAATCCTTCACTTAAAACAGTGTTAGTTAATTTTAATTTCATTTCTTAAATAAATTGACCTTCTGATGGGTTCCAATACACATAAATTATATTATCTGCGTAGTGTGTATGTATAGCGTGCTAAAAGTAAGCTTTAGTCTCTCAGTAAGCTTTAGCCTTTAAGTGGCAGTCCCGCTAAGAGCGGTCCGATGACTTTGCCTTCGGAAAATAGATTTCCTTTATTTTTTGTGTGTTGAAAGGCATTGGTATACAAGTGTCCAAAATAAATTTATTTTTTGAAAATTCTTTTTTATGGCTTCGCTAGACGCCGAAACTCATTTTACCCATGCAGAGCTAATTTCAAGCAAAATCGAAAGTTGAATTTCGGTAAATTGTAGAGCCGCGCTGTGTCAAAACGCCTGACTATTTCCAAATTTCAACTAGATCGACAAGTTAAGACACAATTCAGGTTCGTAATTTTAATTGTATGTAATTTCGATGAATACTATAAAAAAAAAATTATACGCATTGTTTATATAAATTAGCTAACATTTACACATTTTTTACGATAGTAGCGACGTTTGTTTTAGCCATGTAACAAAATAAACTATAAGCATTCTGATCAGTTATTTAACAAAAATATCAAACTTGTGTCTTGTGAATTTTAATTTACAAACTTTTGAAATTTATTCTCAGCTATGGAGCTCACGAATATTTTTTTTTCAAAGAAAAATATTGAAATTCGATTATTTATAAAATTGATATTTTTGTTAAAAATGTTAGCTAATTTATATAAACAATGCGTATAATTTTTCTTATAGTATTCATCGAAATTACATACAATTAAAATTATGCTTTTTCTTTTACTAACCCAGCATAGAAAATTCCTATTTTAGTATTTATTTCGCGTTAAGTAAATTCAATTCAAACTTCATAAATAACATTCTGATATGTCGGTCATAAATTCAAATGTACATTTTTGTGTCGTATTTTGTTAATATGCCGTCGCCACAGAAAAATAGAACATATTGATAAAAATTCTAGGCCTATATAGGGGCAATGGAAACACGTGGAATGTTCCATTATACTTATAGTTTTTTAAATCAATCAAC